GACAGGTGCTAATTACTGCAAGTTATCTGGGAACAATGGCATTCAGAAGAATGAGTCCAAAACGTCAGCAGACATTTCGAGATGCACAGACGGAAGACGATGTTAGTAAACTGATGGCTAATTATGTTGAGTTAGTTTTTGTTTCGTTTTTTGAATATGCCAATAAAAAAAACCAACAGGCTTGCAAGAAAATTAATATTTTATGAGTTTAAAACTACAAAAAAAGACACATTTTCATTTGTCAGGAGTGTAGAAAAGGAGACGTTGAGTAAAGAAGGTTGGAAACAATCTGCATATTATGATATTTCAAAGACTGGTGTCATCGCTTTAACAAGAATCCAGGCTGCGGCATTTAAGTCAGACTCTTCCAAGCAAGATGTCCTGATCAACTGTGTAAGTAATTTCAGAGAGAAAAAGCCTGTTATTAAAATCTGAGAGTAATATTATTATCACTATTATTATTCAAAGTTGGTTCATCTTCTCTTTTTGTTTGGTCATATGTTTCATTTAAATTCTTTAAAACGATTTTATTTTCTTTACTTTAGTGCTGCCCGGGATATGTTAGTACAGACATGACAAATCACAAAGGAATCAAAACACCAGATGAGGGCACTTTAACACCTGTCTATTGTGTGATGTTACCGGGGAATTTAACTGAGCCCCAGGGGAGCTTTTTGTCCGATAAAACTGTTGTTGAGACTTGGTAGAGGTTTAGATACAGTATTTTCTACACATTATTCTTCAAGAAACCGATTGTATTACCATGACTATTTGTTCCACCGAAGGTAATAGAGACAGTAGAGGGTGTTGGCCATAACGGCCGCCCATACAAATCCGGTTATGGGTGGTTAAACTAGCAACTAACTAGTACTAACAGAAAGAGAAGGAATTTTTGAAAACTTTATTGACTTAAAATGAACTTATCTGATAAAGAAGAAATTAAAGTTGATTCAAATGCAAACAACAGTGACTACTGTATCGAGTATGCATATGGTATTCTGCTACAGCATCATATTGATAGTTAAAATTTAACAAGTTTAAAATACGTTGAAAAACACGTTCACCCGTTTTTGATCCTTCAAAATTGTTCACGACCAACTGTTTAGTGTCGGACTTCCTCAATTTCCCGATATTTTAATTTTAACTGTATATTTGTATTGAAATTCATTATAAACTTTGTCTTTCCCTTATATAGTGTAAAGCCAACTTTCTTACTCTCTGCAGTTACTTTTTTTTTATAGTTATTTCTGCATTCATTGTACGGAACTTGTTATCAGTGCAAGTTATCAGCGAACATTAGTTGGGCAAGTACTTCTCCATCAACGTTAAAGCCCTCATGGAGACCAGCTGCTTTCATGTAATGTTGAAGTGCAGTTATAAAGGTCTTTGAGCTGATGGGGTCACTCGTTTTACACACTTTCAGATATTGATAATATTTTATTCCTGTCTGTCTAATAATAATTTATTGACATACACCGTTTATATCGGTGGTACTCAGCAAGTGGTGCGTCAAACATCTTAACTATAGAAAACAAAGTAATCTAAACAAAACTAATGAAAATATAAAAGGTAACTAGAAATTGCAAGTGAAGTGCTGCGAAGTACAACTGCATATAAATGTTCTTCGAACAAACTTATTTATGCGAGTCAAGTGAAAATAATGAATAATAAAAATATAACAAATAATAGGAGACACGACCCATTGTCTATATTAGAACACTTCTCATTGGGTAACAAAGTCGTAATTTTTCATTTTTGTAAAAAAGCGTTTATAGTGGTGAATTATGGTTTAGGTTTTTTTAAATAAAGTTTCAAAAATTTTTATGTATGTGGAAAATGTAGTTGATTACCAAAGGTTACAATTTTATTTTGAAGACTGCATGGTCTAGGAAGTGTACGAGCCAGCGTGTTATTTGATCACAAGTGCGAGACATCACAAGAGTGAGCCGGCGAGCCATGACGTCAAGACTATAGATACGAGACGTTAACGAGTTGTGCGAGGTATCGGCTGAGATTTGTGGAGTACAATTCAAAAAACAACTATAGGTCTAATAATGAATTATTGTGATGTTAAATAGACAATGTTAGCTATCAAGGAGCGACGTTGTTTTTCATTGGGGCCTTCGTCCCTTCAAGGCTAGGCCTATACCATCCTAGTTAGTCTAGGCCTAGGCTAGCGCGACATGCGGACGTTGGTACGTGTTGGTTAGTCTACAAACGTCGCCTAAAGTAATTGATTTTACCCGGCAGAACAAAAGAAGGAAACTCCGCTTTTCAGTCGTCTTAGGCCCTTATTTTTTGAAAAACAATGACCTTTCAGATGTCAAATCGCTGTCAAGAATATGAATTGACTGCTTCGCAGCAAAAACAAATTAAGCAA